GCCACTCCTGGAAGCGGCTGCAGTGATCAGCCACCATGATCAACCGAACAATGAGATCTGCTGCTGGGGGCACCCCTCCCCCTGGGTAGTGAGACTGGTCGCGGGGGGCCACGTGCCCCACCAACTAAAGTGGCACCAGTTGGCCATGGGAAAAGGCAATCTGGACTCATAGTAAAGAAGATATGTTTGATTAGACCAACAAGATGTTTGCAAAAAAAGTCTTTAATTGCAAGCTTTTGGGCACAAACACCCTTCATCAGGCATGGGAGAAAAGATTGTAGAAGTTCTCCGGGGTAGATATGGAAGTTCATATTTCATAGGATTTCACAGAGGAGTCACTAGATGGAAAACTCCTCTGAGCAGTCAGTTCATAGCTGGTATGAAGCCTCTCACCTCCTGTGAGGATCTGTGATGATGCAAATTACCTTGAAACAAAGGCAGGAGCAGGATCTCAGGTTTCAGGTGGTCACAGTTGCTTCCTGCTTGGGAAAATATGAAGATTTCATTTTTTAATAAATCGGATAAAATTCAATATCTTCCATGTGTCAGATATCCAGGTTGTAGCCATATTGGTCTAGAGGAAAAGGCAATCGGGACTCGTAGTAGAGATGATATATTTTATTAGACCAACAGGATTTTTGCAAAATCACTTTCCTTCCCTGCTTCACCAGACCCACACTAATTCACCTTTGGTTAAGCTATGATAGCTATTTCCTCCTGCAGATATGTCACTGGGGAGAGCAGAAAGAGAGAATAGATGTGTGTGGGAGGTGCCAGATACCTCCTGCATCTTGAAAGTCACCAGGTATCTGTGCAGGGGTTTAGGTTGTAGCCGTGTTGGTCTAAGGACATAGGCAGACAAGGTTCCTTGGGTGAATTTGATATCTTTTATTAGACCAACCCAAATAGTTGGAGAATAGTTATTAAGCAAGCTTTCGGGTTCAAAAACCCTTCGTCGGGCTAAGGAAGTTTCAGCAGTTGGTGTGTGCTCTTCCTGGATGGAATGAGAAGTACCAGGTATCTGTGAAGTTCAGTGGATTGGAGATTGGTCCAAACTGTTCTAGGTAATTAGAATCTGCCTGCGGTTGAGGTTTTCTGGGGTTGTATTTCTATCATTAGAAACGGTTTGGCAGATTATTCATATTAATTCTCAAATCCAGTTACTAATAATAACATACTGTATTAGAAAAATGAATGAAATTTTGGCAAACATAGTACAGAGGAAAAACAATGCAAGCATCTGTCATAGTTTTCAGTGCTTTTTATTCACTTTTACTGATCTGGATTTACAAGGAGAATGACATAGCACAAAGAGTATTAGTGAAGGCAATTCAATTCCACCAGTGTGTTATACTGCTTTTTAATAGATAGTCATGTACATTTACATTAAAAATAAAGTTTGCATGTAGGTTAAACACAGAGCATTGTTGCTTTGATATGATAAGATGTGTATAATGCTATTAAGAAAGCCTATGGCCAAGTTTTTCACTTACCTCTTAATTACAATTGCATGTAACATTATATAGATTAAAAGGAAGCAAGATGCATATTTAATAATTAAGGCAACTAATTTTAAAATAAAGATTGTTTTGGGAAGTGTGTGTCAGATTAGCTGAAACCTTCCAATAGTGCTCGTCCATTGGCATGTCTCTCACTGAAGAATTGCCCACTTACTGGGAAGTTTTGCTAGGAACCTGTCAAAATAAACACAGCAGGAAATTTATTGTTGGAGTACCATCTGTTTCTTCCATGGTTTCTTCTATACTATTTCCCTTTCCTGTAACCAGCTCTACACAGTTTCACTCCACCGCATTCTTTCCAGATTTACTCTAGTAAAATCAAAACCAGGGGCAATGCAATAGTTTCTTGTTTTGCAGAGAAGTAGTAAATCTGCTAATAACCAGATTCTGTCATTGTGACCTGGATTAGTAATTTATTCTGTGACTAGTCAAAGTGTTACTCCAAAGATGCAAGTGTGGCGCTTATTAACAGCATTCCTGTATAACCTGTGACACATCTGGTCATCCCCAATGAATTGCTGAAAACCAAATGGGCAATACAGAGTAAAGCAAATATTCCTTAGTTCAGCAAAACAAAGTTCAATCCTGAGACTGAGATCATCAACATGCTATTTGAGCTACTCTGGTTTTCCTTGCAGCTCTGAAACAAAGCCAGGCATTTGACCTGCTTTCCTGTGAGAAGCACCATGCAGATATGAAATGAGGTATTCTGTGTTCTCCAGATCCATATGACTGGGCTCCAGGCACTATGATACAGTGGATGCATGTACATGAACAATTAATGCGAGATGATAAACTCCGAAGCAGTTGAAGCCGGAATAAACTGGTCCCAGATGCAGCGTCTATATGTGCTCCCAGGACAGCAGCAATTTGAGCAAGGGCAGTGTAAGGAGTACGCGGAGTCAGCCCTGGGCTCTGGGTAGTGCCGGTGGGCAGTGGAGGGGCTGCCTGGGGCACAAGGGTGCAGACCTGCAAAGCTGTATGGCTAGTTGGCAGGCAGGAGACTGGCCTTCAGCTGGCTGAGATGACTGGGCACAATTTATGCCTATAACCAGCTACGTGTGCGTTTCACCACAGTTAATTACTCTGCCATAATATAGTATTGTCAGGGACAGTACTAGCTTGTGGTGGAGTTAATTAGTTTACTGTGCCCCAATACCACCACATGTGTAGATGGTGATGCTTTACTGTGGATCTAATTAGTCTAATCCACAGTAAAGTGCACGTGTAGATGTATCCTATGGGGTAAAAAACAGGTTCTGCAGATTCTGTGGGCAGTAGTTTAGCCATAAGCTGGGCAAGAACAATGACCTTTGGCAAAAAAAAATCTATTGAGCCTGGAAAGGGATCTTATTTATACCCTATTGATACATGGAAGCAGAGTATTTCCTTTTCCCCTTAAGTCAGTCCTACCTTTTCTTGATGAGGTTCTGCACCATCTTCTTCACCAACTTGGAATCAGGGTTCAGACATTTTTGCTGTCCAGAGCCCTTCAGTGTAGCACTGAAAGAAAAAAAAAATAGACTTAATTCTCCCTACTCATTCAAAGAGAAGGTCACCATCATCTTTGTATCTATGCTTAGCTTTTGATCAGCAGAGTCTGATCCTGTGGTGACCTGAGTGTTCAGTGGATTAGCACAGTGCATTAGCAAAGAACATAAATAGACAAACTGTGTTAAGCTCTATCTACCCTATGTATCTATAGTATATACCTTGTACAGCAGACTGCCAGTATTTTCCCAAACCCCACATTTTCTGCCATTACAACAAGTAGACTCTGGAGGGAGCCATGGCATCTTTACTCACATGATCTCGATGTATTCGCAGGATGGACTCTTAGGATACATATCTAGTTTTTGTAAGGATTTTGGGTGAACAAAGTCAGAACCTTTAGTTGTGCACAGGCATCGTCCTAAAAGAAACAGGCGCAAGATAGATCAGAAGGATATCATCCCACTGAGGTTGGAGCACAAAATATATTTAAGGTGTAAGAAAAGAGATGAAAACGTTCTGCCTCACTTTGAGCCAACATAAAATGTATTCAGCATTGTTCCCTTACGCCCATTTACATTAGCACAGTGCCACATTAAAAACAGCTGTCTTCTGCCTTGTTCCTGTTAGTTGGTTTGCATTAAGCCCCTCTAGACCACTTTCTTTAGGAGATGATGGCCACCCCTGTGTTGTCAGCCTGGTCTGAAAGTCCCACCGGTGTAAAAGGGATGGGAGTGAATGAGCAAAGCAGCAGTTAGGGTAACTGTTACTGCTTCCTAAGAAGCCACTGAAAGCCTGGGAGACACCCTACTGACTTCAGTGTGCTGTGGAACCCAGGACTGAAAATGGGACAAACACAAAGGTGATGGTCTGCAGCTGCTTCCCTACCCCTTCAATACAGGGCCAGGCCTGGGCAGAAATCCATACCTGCCTGCACCTTGCATTCAAGCTGCCCATCTTGAATGTCACAGTACAAGCAGAGTGAACCAAAGCGGTGAGCAGCATCACAACACAACCACTCCTTGGCTTTTTGCCACTGGTGCATTCCAAGCACACACCTTCTACAGAGCTTTCCCAAGTTATCACATTGAGTTTTATGACTCAGACAGACCTCAGAGTCTATTCTGTACCTCTCCCTCTTACCTTGGATTTCAGCAGTGAGCAGCAGCACAGAGCAGAGGACAAGAGCAAAGGTTTTGTCCATGGCAACAAGCACAAAGGTTCCTCAGTATTGTTCTTGAACATCTGAGTGAAGCTGGAAAGTGGCTCAGGGAAAGTGTTTCCCAGTGTATATTTATACTCTAAAAGCTTTTCCCTCCTTGATGCTGATTGGTCTGAATTATTGCCTTGTCAGATAAAATTATCTGGGACTATACAGTCTGTGGGAAAGTCCTGATAATCACCAGACCTGAGGAATTCTTTTAGATATTTCGATTGTTCCCTTTTCATTGAAATGGCTCTTTTCTCATAAGGCTATGTTTTACTTTCAGTGCACTGAAAGAGTCAAGTAGCCAGCACTGATCCATATAAAGAGCTGCTCTGCCTTGGGGACTTCACAGAAGAAACTAAAATGGGGAATTCTGGAAGTCAAAGTCACAAATAACTATAGTTGTGAGGGTAGGAGGTGGAGGTGTGTTCTCTCAAATGCTCATACTCAAGGTTTATGTCTCTCCCAGGAATTTTGCTCAGAAACATGGATCAAAATTTTATGTATAAATTACATATGACTGTGAAGGACACAGCATATTTAATATTTGTCTTCATGTTTAAAACCCAAGAGCTGCCCCATCTTACTGGTAAGCTCTCAGGACTTTGTTCACCAGACAGCATTTGTGTTTGCTTAGGTTCTCTCCTCTCCTCTGCTGGATCCACCTGTCAGTGTGAGACTCCCACAGAGCCATGGGAAAGAGGGTATTTTTTCTTTAAGACAATAAATTATGTAAGTTAACAATAAATGCCAAGGACCAATGCCAAGTTTGAAGTGACTTCTAGCCTCTCTGAAACAGAAAATTAGATTTCAAGATGTACAGCTAAGTGTTCATTTCTTTTAGCATAAAAATAACAATGGAAAATCCAACTTCTGGTAGTCCAGAAGTATTAAATGCAGCTCAGGCTTCATTCTGGGAGTCTACTGAATAGCTGCATCACTTCAGAATGTCAGTCTGAGATATGTTTGGTGCTTCAGCACTTTATCATCACCCAGAGATTACAGTAGCAGAGGCACCAACCAGTTGTAACGTAAGTGGTGTGTAATGTAATGCATTGTATGCATTGGGAATGTGAGATGAATGTGTAACAGAAGGAAGCAGCCCTGAGGAGTCCTGTTGGCTGTGACCCTGGACTACAAATCTCAGAGGCACCGGAAAGCAGGAAGAGGAAGTGATGAGCAATCATGCAGAGTTCTGTTGCTGTGATGCTGGACTGCAAATCCTAGAGAACTTGGGGAAGCAGGAAAAGGAAGCAACCACACAGTCCAGGCTGGCTACGTGCTAGGGAGCTCAGGTTGGATGGAGAGAGGAGATCTGAGAATGAATGAAGCGAGAGGCAAGCTCCTGCACAGCGCAGATGAACCATAGACTGATTGCACATGGCCCCCGACCTAGAGACCTATACAGAGTGACTCTGGACTAAAGGAGGATTCTTAGGAAAACCTCCGGAGGTGGGGGAAGGAGCTCTATGTGCTGAATGTATGCATTCCAGTGGTACTGACTATGACCTGTTTACTTGACCTTTAAGTGAATGTTGTTATACTGTGAATGCCTATTCACCTGTATTTGTCCTTCCTCTGGCCTGTTGGTCTGTGACCCTAATCCCTAGCACTTTCTATATAAAAGTGAGAAGACCATTTGTTGGCTGTAGTGATCATGCCTGACATTGCAGGGGTTTGTTACACTGTGTTGGAAATGACACTTAAAGGCTCACCTGCTATATTTGCATTGAACAGCTCTGCAGAGCCAGATGGGGGAATCAACTTCTAACTCCCTCCTCACAGGCCTCTGGCCTCTGATCAGGTTGGATGTGCGCAGGTGCCCAGGGACCATGCTAAGTTAGCCAGGTGGCCCCTGCCATAGGTGGTCACCGGCCAAGCCTTCCATCCCCTCTCCCTTTGCAGGGGCAGACAGCCTGTTTGGTGCTTACCACCACCAGCCTGCCTTCTCAATCTCCCCGCAAGGGAGGTCAGGCCAGGCTGACTCCTGGCAGCAGCTGCCACTACTTCAAACCAACTTCCCCCCTTCTCCTCCTGCAGGCCAGGCAGTTTGCTTCCATGGCGCCAGGCCCAAGGTTAGGATGTGAGGGTCTCCCACCCAGCTGGGACACATTGCTGGTGATGCCCTCCCCCCGGTGGGCCTCTCCAGAGAGGCAGCGTGGGCCAGGGTCCACACTGCATGTGGTCTGCACCCCAAATGTGCCCCTGCTGAGAGTGTCCCCATCTGCACCCCAAGTGTGCCAGGCTGTTTGAGTGCAGCAAGGGGAGCCTGATCCACTGTGCCCCACTGCTGCTGATCACCATGGTGCCCCAGGTGCAGCTGAGAACCTAGCGTGGGGCCCTGAGCTTTGACAACAACCCAGACAAGCCCACGCTTCCCCACAGAGTGTGCCGCTGCCTGGGAGGGTATCTGTGTCTATGCTATGAGTGCCTGATCCCTGCAGCCAAGGAGGAGATCGCTGGTGCCATTAATGAGTTTCTCTGCATATGACAGGCCACTGGCTGCCTAACTGAGAGGACACTGGCTGCCCAGTAAAGTTGTGGACTTTCTCCCACCTCCCTGTGTGTGGGAGGGAACACTAGGGGGCAGAGGCGAGGTTGGCCAAGCAGGGAGGGGGGCAGGCGCAGGAAAGGGAGGGGGGTACCCTCTGAATGGGGCCCCTGCCTCCAGGTGTGCAGCCCAGGGGCAGGTGGGAGAGTTGGTGTGGGTGCCCCCTTTCCCCCAGGCCTCCTCCCTGTGTGGGGCTTATTGGATGGGCATGGCAGGCTGTTCCAGCAGCCCAAGTCTGTCTCTGAAGGTGGCAATATGCCACTGAAGGTGGTGTCCTGGAGCACAGAGGCATGGCGATTGGCTGCCCAGGCAGTGGCTCCCTCTGGGGAGGACCTGGAGCTGTTCATGGCTGGTGACATCCCTGGCCTGTCCTCCTCACTGGGGCTGTGCGCCCAGAGTCAGCAGGGCAGTAGTTGACTTGGGCTGTATGAGCTGATAGATGAGGGTGGGGAGTGCACTGAGACCTGCACCCGGTGGGGCCCTTGTCTGCAGACTTGCTTGACACTGCTGGGGCCTGGTGGAGGCTCTGGCATGCTGTCTGTGCTGCTGTGCACCGCATGGCTGCGTCCAGGGTCCCTGGGAACCAGGATGTGGAACAGCTGCTGTATAAAGGGCAGCGCCAGACCAGTGGTTATGGTCTGTGACATGGACCCATTGGGCCCACAGGGCCTGGATCTTTATGCGGCACTGCTGCACAGACTGGGCTGCCATGGTTTCATATATCTGGGTGTTTGAGCAGACAGGAAAACTGGATCTGCACCTTGGTGTCACCCCACAGTACGATAAGGTTGGCAGTCTCTCCCTCTGACCAGTTAGGGCCCTGGGACACTGTCTGTGGCATTGGTGAGGCCATCATCATGGGTGCTTTGAAAGACCTCGGGGGCTCAGCAAGAGACTCCAGGTACCATTGGGGTTTGGCATGTGTCTACAGCAGAGGTGCCTGGGAGGCAGCCAGGTGGTGGGGCAGGCATTGGGGGCCAGAGCCAGGTGATGGTGGGCCTTCTGTGGCCAGCATGCCCCTAAGACCCAGTGCCCAGGGGCTGGCAGTAGCTGGCATAGACCCAGGGGCCAGGCTACGGGTCTAAAGGCCAGGCTGGGACAGGCAACAGGAGGCAGCAGGAGCAACTGCCAGCCTCATGGCTCAGTACTTACTGCATAATTAGTTAAATACCTGCATTTACAGGTACTAGCTAACTGCTCAGTAAACTAATTTAAATGTTGTGCACGTGTTGATGGTGATGCTTTACTGTGCAGTAGACTAATCTACTGTGCTGTAAAGCTTCTCATGTAGATGAACCCATTGACTGTTAGTTAAGTCACTTCAGTTTTGCAAGTTCATCAGCTTACATTTGGCAAATGCTCATACACATTTATGGCCCACAAGAAATATTTATACATTGGTTAAATAAATAGCCTCATCCTTTTTATATTCTAAGACATATTTTATTTTATTAACAGACCCAGTGGGCAAGTACCTGGCAGCCCACACATACAACCATTTCTACATTATGTACATTACTATAGCATGAAATAATATATACATCAAAGAATTAAGTTAGTTTCTCTTAGCATAACAACTACTTTTGGAGTCTTATGTCCATAAGGACCACTCAGCATAAGCTGAGTGGGAACAGCATTAGGAATTATAATGATAACTGGAAAATCCAACTTCTGCTAGTCCAGGAAGTACTTGCTGATCAAGGAAGCAGAAACCATCTGAGTATTTACACTTTTAGCCATGAGCTGACCCCCTTGACCAAAGTCAGCTCAAGCTGCTCTCTTTGTTACTGAGGATTAAGTGCATCACTTTGTTTGACTGAGGTATGCTTGGCGTTTCAGCACTGTCATCACTCACAGGTTACATTAGCAGAGGCATGAGTTAGTGTTGAAGACCACAGTTAAAGTTTCAGCTGCAGCATCAGTGTTCTGTAGAGCTGGATAGAAGACACTCACAGAAAACACCCTGAATCTCTGTGACATTGCTAGTTCATTGAGACATCTCTTGCTGGTGCATCATCTATCTTACAGGGCGCTGCCACGTTTAGACCTGTCAGAATAAACACAATTGAATGTTATCATTGGAGCAGGGATTGCATCTTTCCAGATTCCATCCATCAGAGGATGGCTTTTCTTTCCCCTTTCTGATGCTGCTGGAAGTGACATCAGAACCAAGCTCATCACATGCGGCCTTGCCGCTCTGGGCAGAGCAGAGAGTTAAATGCAAAGGACAAGGTTCTGCTACTAATATACTTTTCAGCTCCTTACTCCAAATACTCCCAATATCACCCTGAGACTGTGGGTATAGCACAACCTGGCCCTTAACCCTTGCACATCTCATGATGGCTACTCCCGAGAAAGTACCAAGGCCTAGATGAGGGATGCAGAATGAGGTGAAAATTTCCCCTGCCCCCACAATCCATTAGACCCTGTGTTTTTTTCTGAGATACAGGTTCTGGTCTTCCCTACAGGGCTAACTCAAACCCTGGCATTTCACTTGCTCCCCTAGGAGGAGCACCATGCAGAGATGGCATAGGGTATTCAGTGTGTTTTCTGGGTACATGCCAGGTTGTTCTTGCAAGTGAGCACATTGAATAGTTCTGAGGAGGTTTCTGTGGCTACTGGGGACAGTGATTTAGCTGTAGGCTGTGCCACTTCAAAGACCAACAGACTCTATTGAGTCTGGAGAGGGACTTGTTGATGTGTAAGAATGAGGCAAGCCCCAAGCTCTCAGGGTATTTCCTTGCAGACTGAGCTCAAACCTACCTTCTCTTGATGAGGTTTTTCACTATTTTCTGCACCCATTTCGAATCCGGGTTCAGGCACACTTGCTGTTTAGAGTCCTTAAATGTGGCACTGAAAGAAAAAAAGGAAGGAGAATTAATATTTCAGGGAAAAAGTGCCATCATCCTTGTATCTCTCATCAGATTCTAATCATCAGAAGTCTGAGACTACGGTGACTGTAATTTGACAGTGATCATAAAGGGGGAAAAAGATAAACACAGGTCACCCAGGGAAGCTCTGACTACCTGGCGTGTTTATAGAGCACTGAGCACAGCTGTGTGCCAGTGTTCTACCAGATCTTGCATTTTCTGTTACTGTCAGAAGCAACCCCTCTGGTGAGGAAAGGGCTAGCTGAGCAATAGAAGTGTTACTCACATGATCTCAAGGTGCTCGCAGGAAGAGCTCTTTGGAAACACTTCTAGTTTTGCCAAGGATTTTGGTGGAAGAAAGTTAGAACCTTTTGCTGTGCACAGGCATCGTCCTCTTCCAGCATTTGGAGCTCCTAGTGGAAATAAGACAGAGAGATCAGTACAAGATCAGACCCAAAGATGAAAGATCTAAAATGTATTTATGATGGAATGAGAAGGCACCTATACATGTGCAGTGAGGCTTCTCTGACCTGCTGTAGTTAAAGCATGTTGGAGCAGACTCAATTAATTGAGTCTGCTGGAGCATGGTAATTACTGTGCTCCGGCATACTCTAGTGTCACGTGTATCAGTGTCCCCATGCTGAAAAGTGGTGGTGGGGTGTTTTAACTAAAGATCATTTTAAGAGTTTTAGTTAAAGTGTCCGTCCCCCCCACCATTTTTCAGCATACGGACGCTGATACATGTGACATTCCTCCCCACTTCTCCGTCCCCACCCTGGAGCACATGTATAAATGCCCTGAGTGATTGAAAAATCTCTGCTTCACTTCAGGGCTAACACATAATATGTCCTGTGTTGCTAGCTTGGGACCACTTAGTTTAGCACACTGTCATGATAATGACAGTACTGCCTTATTCCGGTTAGTTGGTTTGCGTGAAACCCTTCTGAACCACTTCCTTTGAGAGATCATGGACTTGTGTTGCCAGCCTTGTCTGCAAGTTGGTGGGCCTGATTCTGTTTGGGAGTCTTTGGGGAGTCACCCCAAAGTTAAGGTCTAGGGATACCCGCTGGTGTAAAATGGATGGGAGTGAACAAGCAGAGCAAGCAGTTGGGGCAACCATTATTGCGTCTCAACAAGCCACTGAAAGCCTTGACTTCCATGTGCTGTGAAACAGGCCTTCACTATCCTTCCCTAGAGCTTAAAACAGGACACAGAAGGTGATGGGCCGCAGCTGCTTCCATACCCCTACAATACAGGGTTGGGCATGGGCAGAAATCCATCCCTGCCTGCACCTGCTCCTCTTTGAGACAGCCACAACTAAGCTGCCCATCCTGCATTTATGATGGCAGGATTACACTGTGCTTAGACCTGCATGTCACAGCACAAACAGAGTGAACCAAAGTGCTGAGCAGTAACAGCAGCACAACACAGCCTCTCCAGTCATGACCCTTTTAGGTGCATTCCAAGCAGGCATCGTCTACAGAGCGTGCCCAGGTTATCACACCTTGGGTTTTATAACTCAAACAAAAAAACAAATCTATTCTGTACCCCTCCCTCTTACCTTGGATTTCAGCCACGAGCAGCAGCACGGAGCAGAGGACAACAGCAGCCGTTCTGTCCATGGTGATGAGAGCGAAGGTTCCTCAGTATTGTTCTTGAATATCTGAGAGAAGCTGGGAAGTGGCTTAGGGAAAGTGTTTCCCAGTGCATATTTATACTCTAAAACCTTTTCCCTCCTTGGTGCTGATTGGTCTGAATTCTTGCTGTGTCAGCTAAGACAATCCAATCCAGGGCTATGCTGCCTGTGTGGGGAAGTCCCAGCAGCAAAGTTTTCTCTTTGCCTGTTTCACTGCAAATGCTGATTTCCCAGAAGGAAGCAAGTTTCGTTTCAGCGAGTGTTAGGAAGTAACCCTACATATCATGTATAAGCAGGAAGGCAACTGCTTTCGTACTCTTGCAGAAAAAAAAACAATACAGGGGGAATTCCTGAAGTAAAAGCCCCCCAAATCAATATTGTTGGATGAGAGAGAGAGATATGAGGGAGCTGTTATCTCAGTTCTTTTCTGCCAGTATAAATGTGCCTGACTTTTGTATGTCACTTAGACATCTTCCTCAGTAACAAGCCAGAAAGCTTTCTGCACTTAACATTAGTTCTCTGGGTATTTTTAGATACCCTAACACCCCAAAGTGGGACAATGCTCCTGAGCCACATGCCCTCTAAACTGAAGATTCTGTTTCAGAGACCACAATGATACCCATGACATGTTGTCTAAAAGCAAATCTTAATCAACGTCTCAGACTGAAATGGAAAGGTTTTGCATATTTAATGAGAATGGTTGTGATAATAACACATTTGTAACTTTATATTTTAGGTGCTTTTACAGTGTTGGTTTGAACCTGAAGGGCCCAATTGTTATTGCTTATTCATGTCATCCTCAGGATTGGGGATGACATGACTGAGCCCCATTTTCTTTGCTCCCTTCCCATCCTTGAGGTGTTTTGGGGGACTGTTTCCTTTCCTGAACTCCCTCAATGAATTGCTTCTTCAGGAGTCCAAGGCAGCGCTGCTCCCATAATAGCCCTGTCACATATGGCAAGCATGCCTTGCTTGAGTGACTGAAAGTGAAACCTATATATCTTCTTCTCAGAAATCAGGAGATTCAATGAAATAGGAACAAGTAGCACAGAGGAAAAAAAGTCCACAGTTATTATCTACTGGGGCTTTCCCTCACAGATCATACAATGCCCAGTCTGTTTAGCTGGCAAAGTGATATTTTCATGGCTCCCGCTATCTAGGCAAGTGTGAATTACAGCTGTGAAATCTGGCATATCACAGTTGTTCGTGTTGTATTTTTTCACATCAAGTAAGAGCCACCTGGGCTCAGTGGGGTTCACTTAACAGTGAATACTAAATGCAGGTCCCACCTGTAGATACAAATTGCTCCTCTACCAGGAATCAGAAACATAACAAGACAGTGAGAGCCACTGGAGGGGTCAAATACTTTTTAAAGGTAGTAATAGGCATCCGTCTGTCTCGCAAGACAAGCGAATTATGCCGAGTGAGATGCTGATTGTAATCCTTGTTTGAAAGTTAAAGCGAAGCTGGAGTGACTTCTCTAGGCTGCAAAATCCTGGGCACAGAATGGACTGAGCTGCCCACACACCAGTACCCGCCCCTCCCCCCGCCCCCAGCCTTGCTGATTTAATCCAAAGGGAAGATAGATGCCAGTATGTTTGGAACCAGATTGGCTGCAGGAGCTGCCTGAGATACTATTCAGTTCTTACACACTATATATTTCCCTCCCTTTGCTGTAAAAGCACCTAAAATATAAAGTTACAAATGTATGGGTCTGAAGGGTATGAGCTAAGGCCCTACAGCAGTATTTCCCATTGCAGTCCATTATACCTGTTTTCCACAGGGGGGCACATCTACACAAGATGCTTATTGTTGAATTGCCTACTTGGCTCTCCAGTAAAGCATCACTGGTCTACACATGCAGAGCTATTAGGTTGGAGCAGTGGCAACACATAGGGGGTGCACTGGCACCCCTGAGAGTGCCAGTGCACCCCCTGTCAGGCCATCCTCCCTGTTTAGCCAGCAGGCAGGGGGGCAGGCAGGAGCACCAGTGCCCACCCTGAGAGCACAAGCTGGGGAGAAGGGGCCACTAGCAAAAGTGGCCGCACTGCTTCTGGAAGTGGCAGAGGGACCCCCCCCTTCCTTGGCCAGTGAGATCAGCTGCCAGGGGACGTCCCCCACCCCTGGTTGCTGACTGGTGTGAGGGGGGGCATGTGCCCCCTGACTCAAGAGGCACCAGTCACCCATGGGTTGGAGTAAACTAATTAGCTCCACTGTAAGTTTGTACTGCCAGATACAAGTACTATCCTATGGCAGTTATTTATTCTGTTGCAACGCATGTGTAGATGCTGACGGGGGCTGGCTGGGGCACAAGGGTGCTTCAGGGGCTGGCTGCTGGCTAGCCCCATACTCAAGCACCCTTGTGCCCTAGTCAGCCCCTCTGCAGCATGTTGAACCGAGTCAGAGAAGTGCCAAGCTGGCAGACTGACCCCCAGGGCTCCCTGCCACCTGGGGCTGCACCTCCCTGGCTCAATGTGCTGCAGTCCCAGGCACACATGTAAATGTTGTACCCGGGAGCAATAAACTGGCATAAACTGTGCTGAAGTTTATTGTGTCTCATTAATATTCACATGTAGACAGGCCTAGCATGTCTTACATTAACTTCTCTTTTGATTCTCAGTTTCATCAGAGTGCTCTTGTCAACCTGTCAAGTTCTGTACAGGCGGACTGCAACTTCCTGAAAGACTGAGGAAAGTTAGGCACCTGAATCATAAATGAAAGGTAGCTCTTATAGTGCAGTCACAGGGCTCTGGCAGGAGCCTTGTGGAGCCACTGGAAACCATGGAGGTGTGCATACCCACTGGTGCCTGAAATGTAGTAGCTGCTGCCAAGAATTTCTGGCATTAGAAGCAGGCTAGTGTAGACAAGATCCATGTATTGTTGGCTTCATTGGGAATTTATCACATGTTTAACTTAAGTACTTTTCTGAACAAGGGCTACATAGTGAAAGACCACAGGTAGATATAACAAATAGATTTAGGAGCAGTGGGGCAATTTGGATAATCAAAATAAACAGTGTCCACATCACACCAACTGTGTAGCAACTATCATGAAATTAACTTGTTCGAAGGAGTAATCAGATTGGTTAGGTTCACTAAACTAGATTTAATTACAATTAAAAGAAGCAGTTTTTGTTCCCATAGTGTCTACACAGTTGCTGTAACACTGTATCTTGGGAATTTCTACTTTAACTAATCATTTCCCTAGTAGAATGGCAAGCCAAACAGATAGCATGAGACCAGAAGAAGAAAAGGTCAAGGAAACTTCTTGCCATTAGTGCCTAATATCTGTGTAGTAAAAAGAGATACTATGCTATAAAAACATTCAAGTTAAATAGAAGCCATGTTCTAAGTGTGGAATTAGTCCTGAGGATTTCTTGTGTGAGATCTTTGTTACAAATAGTAGGCCTGTGCGAGTTGGCAGCGATCCAATCCGGCTTTGGATCCGGCCGCTTTGGATAGCTGCGATCTGATCCAGAGCTCTGGACTGGGTTTCCGCCTTGATCTGGCTGAAGCTTTGGAGCAGCCTCAGAGATCCAGCCATAGGGTATAATGGGGAATCAACGAAATATCTATAACTTTGTTGTTTTTTGTCTGATTTGGATGAAACTCACAAGAATGTTATCCTCTGCTGAGAGCATGAAACTTGCCAAGTTTCAAGAAGATCGGTGCAGGGGTTTCGGGGGGAACTGTACCCCAAATTCTTGAAAGGCAAGCTCATGTAACACGTCTATGTGTTACAACACAGGGAGGTGAAAACTGCAGGACTGGTAGCTCTTACTGAGGCCATGATGCCTACCAAGTTTCAAGAAGATAAGTGCAGAGGTTTTGGGGGGAACTGCGCCTCAAGCTGCGGACAAGCAAAACTCATGCCATGGGTGACACTGCGTGAGTTATGGCGCAGTGGAGTGACAGCTGCAGGGATGGTGGCCCCTGCTGAGGCCACAACACCTGCCAGGTGTGGAGGAGATCGGTGCAGGGGGATTCTGGGGCCCTGCACCCCTAGCTGCTGACAGACAAAATGTGCCAAGACTGTGTCTGTCTTGGGGCAGTTGATTGTCTGTATTGAATCTTTCCTCTCCTTAGCCTGATTTTGTAGGTGCTAACTGATGCTCGTCAAGTCGTTATGTAGTAGCTAGGTCCTGTGTATTGAGCTGGTCCCTGAGTCCCTGGTCCCTGAGTGAATCAGGATTGATTGATTGGTAACTGGGAACACAGCAGCTTAGCAGCCAGGCCTGCAGCAGTGTCTCCCCTTCCCGCCCCAGCACAGACAGTCAGTCCCACAGCACCCATGGCATGAGTTTTGCTTGTCTGCAACTTGCAGGGCAGTTCCCCCCAAACCCCTGCACCAGTCTTCTTGAAACTTGGCAGGCTTTGTGGCCTCAGTAAGAGCTCCCACCCCTGCAGTTTTCACCCCACTATGTTGTGAGACATAGACGTAACAGGAGTTTTGCTTTCAAGAATTTGGGGTGCCGTTCCCCCCAAACACCTGCACCTATCTTCTTGAAACTTGGCTTAATGCTCTCTGCAGAGTCTACCACTCCTGAAAATTTCATCCAAAATTGGACAAAAAACAACAAAGTTATAGATATTTTATTGTTTCCCCATTATACCCTATGGCCGGATTTCCGAGGCAGCTCCGAGGCGGCTCCGAAGCTCTTTGGAAGCTCCGACCCGCTTGGGGAAGCCGAACAAGGCAGCGCTTCGACCCGGACATGCTACTTTGGACCCCGAAGTGTCCGAAGTTTCTTCGGATCCGAAGCTCTGTCTGAAGCCTCGCACAGCCCTAACAAACACCTGTATCAAACTATGTCCTGAATAACTGAGTTTGGGCTTGTCTACATGGAATATGTTACCAGAATATTTATATTTGTTTAATACACCATTTTAGTTATACCTGTATAACTCCCTATGTGGATACTATTATTCTAGAATAGGAATATCTTTTTTCTGAGCTATCTTATGTCCCTCCGGGAGCAACAGATATTTCATGTATTTATCAATGGCCTGAAAGAAAACATGCAACCATTATTGATAAAGTTTCCTATAGAGGG